CAGAATTCCCCAACCAGCCTTGCTGGCTGGGGAATTCTGGGAGTTGAAGTCCACCCATCTTCAAGTTGCCGAAGTTGAGAAACACTGGTATACAGTATATGGAAGCCATTTTTGCTTGAACTTCATTAAACTTCTGTTACGTATATATAGTTAGTTTTGCCATTGCTGCATCTTCTCCAAGTTTAACTTCCCCATCAGCTATTGTCAATGCTTTGTCTTTTTTACAGTGTGGTGCAGAGTTGTCCTCATAGCCATAAGCATGTACCTTCATCAATTATCCTATTTTTATGGATGCATTTGAGCAAGACAGATCTGTTCCTCCCTGGCCACCTGCTCTCCAGGAAGGAACAAGGGAAGAAGCCTCAAAGAGGGAGAAGAAAATGAGAAAAAGAGACAGGAAGAAGATGGAGCTTAGCAGAAAGAGCCAGAAAAAGGGTGATTTTACCCACCCATTGTTCTGCTCTGGAATGTGGCTCCTGAACGTTGAACCCTGGAAGGAATGCAGTCCGTAACTAAAAAATGATCTATTCCATCTACTTTGCAAACTAGTTATTCCTGAGAGTTAGCAGGGCAAGGTTGTGACTCAAAGATACGTTTTTTCATGCCAAAGGCTGGTCCATTTCCTGACTGTATGACATTTGGACCCCGAAATTGAATTAGAAGGAGATGTAATCCAATTAACGTAGTAAGTAGTTAAAGTGCTTGGATGTGTCGAATCGATTTGGTGTACCTTTGCACGCGTGCAACTCTTCTTTTTTTCATCTGGAGTGATCCTGTGAAATCAAAACAAGGAGGATTTGCAAATCTGTGCCTTCTTTTAATGAAGAAGCAGTGGATGGAGAAGTGCCTTCTTTCTGCCTGAGACTTTAGGCAGTTATTAGGCATGGCAACTGTCTGACTCAGCATCAGAGTTTGATATGTTGCTAAATGCCCAGAACTTTGCTGACCCAGGCAGAATTTGGTTCTCTTGGCTGATGATCAGAAGCTGAAACTGCAAACCCCAGAGCATGTCCAGGTGATCTCCCTGCTCTTCACTGTACATAAGGAGTACACAATGATTTTTTTAAAAGATACTTTCAATTTTTTGGAAAAGTAAATAGGAGGTCAGCATTCTGCAAAACAAGCCACCAGTCTTTAGCAAGGTCTTTTATTTGCAGCAATGCCTTTGGGCACCACTAGAATGGTTGAATATATTCTTGGGATGGGGGGGTTAGAAGGCATTCTAGTAAATTGCAGTTTTATGACAGGCTACACCCATGTTGTAAATAGGTAAGTCTCCTATGGATGGATGTCAGCAGGGAGGCAAGTGACAGAACTTACACCCTCACGCTGATCCTGCATGTCCTTACACCCTACGAAGATGTTAGGCCAGGATCAAGATTTGCATAATAAATCACAATATGTTGCTCCTATGCCAGCCATTGTGTGGGTGCATTTGCAACATGCTCTCAGAAGCCCTGATGTGCCCCTGTCCCAAAATGTTTGCTGTCCCTGGTATAGGCATGCATTATTATAGTACAAAGTTGGTTGTGAAGGATCATCACTCAGTGACCCAGGACCCATCTGGCATGGAAAAGTTCCCAGCATCAGTTCCTGCCTCTCCAGGTAGGGCTGAGAAAGATTCCATGCTGAAACCTTCAAGAGCGACTAGACTAAATGAAATGAAGCTCTGATATGGTATAAGACAGCTTCCAGTCTTCCTATCAGCAGGACAGAAGAAGAGCCATCTACTGTAGGTGGAGGCAGTCCAAAATTGGTCTTTCATTCTTTAGCCAAGCAAATCATTTCCGCAAGGGAGGACTGTCCAGCCCAGTCTGCATGGGTGAAATAAAGCCTCCCTGGTGTCCTTCACTGTGTTATTCTTTCATGTAGAATATGTGTGATGAAAATAAAGCCCCCTCCCTCTTTTTTTTTTATGACTCAGGGCCCCGCAGGTCAAGTTGGGCTTCCTGGAGAAATGGGACCTTTGGGAATGAAGGTAAGGGTTCAGCTGAGATGTACCTATTCCTTGGGGGTTATTGAGTTGCCTAAAAGTGTTCTGGAATCAGTTCCTGGG